ATCTTTATATTAGTATTTCTGAGGAAAAGAAACGTGTGATAACACCACACTTCTTTATACAGCTTTTTGAACAATTAGGTGTTCAAATTCCATTTATGTTTTCAGCAAATAAACTATAAACTATATACCAATGTTTTCAGATAACACTCAGAATTCATTTCTTTCTCCTTATTTTACAGTCTAATTTCTGTTTTTCTCAAGGTTTTGTTTTTGCTTAGCTAAGAATTTCCATTGTTTGTCTGGCCTATTGACTAAAGAAAACATGGTACCTTTGAAAAAGCTGCAAAACAGAGACCTTTTAGCTTGAATGTTTTTATTCAGAGTATTTTTTTCCTGAAATGAAAGGTTTAAAGGAAATTTTGCAATTCTCTCCTAACATAAAACTGGGAATACAGTTCAAAACAAAACTTGTGTACACTTAACAACAACTTAATACTAATGCACGGTTTTCAGAAGGACAGAAAGATGTGCTCGACAGGCTGTACCTTACTGTCCAAATACTCTCCCTTCTTGACCAGGAACTCTGCAATGGTGTCCAGCAGCTTGGTCTCCCTCAGTCTGTGCCGGGCAATGTACTTTGCAATCAGGGCCATGGTGTAGGGTGTGATACTTTCCACCTTCTTTGGGAGCTCCTCTGCCAAAGACAGGGATGGGGCAGGCATCTGTACACAGGCCTCAGGTTTACAAGAGCAATTTTGTATAAAAGGGTTTCTTTGAAACACTTAAAAGATCACAATTTTTAAAAATATTTTTTTAACTCAGCTTCACAATAGCTTCTCAGTAAAAATGCTAAAATGTATGATGTACTGACTAATCCATGTGTGTGGTGTATACGTATTTGAATTCAGTGTGTGCCCAACCTCAGGTTAGCTGGCGCCTTGGCTGGAGGTCAAGGTGAACATCCGTGAAGCTATGGGGAATTATCACTTTCTAATTTCTTTGTCTGTACAGTAATGTTAAAGAAAAAAACGAACTCAGAAGCCAATAGTTATCAGGAATTAAAAAGAACCTAGTAAGAACAGGTTCTTGCCAGAATGTCAGAAAAACAACAGTACACAAGAAACTTAAGATTACAACAAATCAAACAAAACTAATATATACCAGCTAAGCTGCTGACAAATTTCTCCTGACGGTTCTGGTAGAAGAGGTGAGAGCTGAAGATGAGCTCCAGGGACTTGTTGCTGGCCTCGCGGGCGCAGGCTGACAACATCTCGTCCAGCAGCGCCATCTCGTGGTCACGCACGCTGCTCACACTGGCCAGGGTATGTTTCACCAGCCGCAGGATCTTGCGGTTGGCTAGCAGCTGCTCTGGCGTGTAGCCATCGGCCTGTAGGGCACGCCACTTCAGCCGGTAGTAGGAGAGCAGCAGGAAGAGTGTCTGAGGGTGGCGCTCACGCTCAATGTTCTTCTCCAGCCCTGACAGGCAGGACTCAATAAGGGGGTGCTGGCTGGAGGGGTGGAGTTTCATGCTGCTGCTGAACACCATGGAGATGTCCTTCTGGTTGAACTGGGAGAGTCGCCCACGAGACTCCTCCTCCAGCACTTGCACAATCTGAGAGTCACTGGGTAGACCTGTAGAAAGACAGGAAGGGAAAATAAGTAAATGACGCATAGACAGAGAGGCCACAAGGGAGAAGAAATAGATAAATCAAGCAAGTGAGACGGACAACTATCATAACTTTTAGGCTACATTTCAGATGAACCTTCATTAAAAAATGACAGATGACTTCGAAGGGGTTTTGTAAAGATTTTGAGTTTCATTTGATTATCATATAGAACACAGTATTGAAAAAAATCAAAGTCAAGTAAAATCTCTATCTGTATTCACATGGGTTACTTTGGGGTAATCTGAAGTCCTCAAAAACAGCAAATTTGCAAATGCAGGACTAAATACCTTATAGGGAAAAACTGAGCTCCACAGCTCATTAAAACAAATAGTTTTATTATAAATGATAACTATTTCAGAAATAGTGTATTTATTTTAAGTATTTTCTAATGAAAATGGATACTGTAAACTTAAAACAAAGCATTGTTTTCCCTCTATATAATACAGGCTACAGCATGAGCAAACAAAAAAATAGATTATAGCTTACCCTGTATTAGTTTGTTTTTGCATTCTTATTAGAGTGCACACTTTATATTATACTTCTTGTTTTTACTATTATAAATGCAGCACTACTGCCCTGTAATAAAGTCTATTGCAGCAAAGTAATAAAAAAAGTGGTCAAAGAATTTTGTTCGAACAGGCAAAGAAGTGAATGTTAATGTTCACAAATATCAAGGTTCAAGGTGTACAGGTACAAATTTGTATATAAGACTATGGTGGGACTCAATTCAAATATTAAAAACATCCTCAAAACTAGTCAACCTAACAACTCAGAATCAACAGTGCAACAAACCAGGGGACAAAATGGGAACTGTAAGAATATAAAGCACATTTTAACAAAGGGTTGAGAGAGGCTGGACCACTTGTTCCAAATACCCTGCCTTCTCTCAAGAGACAGCTGGATGAGATTCTCAGATAGGTTGGATACTTCAGCTAGTGGACAAAAAATTGAAAAGAGGGACACTGAAAACAAGGGCTAACACAGATGTTGCTCGTGTGTTAAGAAAATAGTCCAGTATATCTATGTATGAAAATGCTGGACAGACCTGGTTTCTAATAATTATGGTTGGCATGGCTGCAAGAAGAGACTTCAGTGACTTTGAAAGAAGGGTGATTATTGGAGGGAGTCTAGTAGGCACTTCAGTTGCTGATGTTTCATGAGCAACAGTGTGTAAGGCGATGTCAGCATTGAATCTGGGAGAAAAGACCAAGGACTAAGGACACCTGGGGGTCAACATGCAGACTCCAATATCATGATGTCTCTGCATTCATTCAAAGCGCAAGGCTAAACAGTTGAACAACTGCAGATCAATTCACTGCAAATTTAAACCTGGGCCTCAATCAGCCAGTTTCATAAAAAATGTTCTGCCGAAAACTCCACAAAGCAGGACAACAAAGTCTGCAGCAGTGCACAAACCAGTCATCACGTTGTAATGCACATTTACAGCTGGAGAAATGTGATATGGACAGATGAATTGTCTTTGACAAACAAGTGTACTTGTACTTGAGTACTTGGCTCCAACAGTGAAGGGTTTTGGGGTTCTGTAATATTATGGGGCACATTTTCTTGTCATGGTATGAGTACTCATTCCCTCAGAAAGCAATATCAATGCCAATCACTGAATGACAACCTTCGTCCCATGAAGAATGTAGCATTTCTTTCCTACCAGGAAGGGTGTCCTCTAGGATGATAATACATCCATCCACACGGCACATATGGTCACCCAACGGTTTAATGAGCATGACAGCCATGTTACCCATATGTCACCGCCATTCTTAAGTCACTAGATCTGAACCCAGTCGAGCATTTATGACATTCTCGAAGACTCTATATCACAGCACCTACAGGCCATACTGGATACACTACATGTGATAGCACAACACCCTGTTAAGGGACTTAAATTAGCATTTCCATTTTTTTGTCCACTCCCTGAAGATGGGCCAAATGGCTTCCTCTCATTTTTTACATTCACACTGCAAAACTCTTTCACTGATGTTTAGCCATGGTTGCAATGGCTATGCTGGCTTTTAAATTAAAATGATTTAAACATAAATTGCTCATTTGTCACTCAAAAAACCAATCTGGCTTGTATTCCCCTCCACACCAGTGAGCTCTTACTCACCCAGTGCAGCAACAGCATACAGGCAGTTGACAATGCTGAAGTTGTCAAACTTGGCACAGTCGCTCACAATGGCATCACAGAGCGTCTGGAAGTCCTGGTGCTCGGAGATCTGCCTGTAGTGGCTTTCCCCTACAGCAGTCCCTGAAGGTGGGGCCAGGGCACCCCCACCGCCTCCTGTCGCCATCGCCGTGGTCTGCTGCTGCTGCTGCAGGAGTTGCCCGATCTTCTGCAGAGCGATGGGATAGTGGTTGTAGGATATTTTGCCAGGGTTCTGCGTGACCCAGCGCAGCACCTCATCTACGCTGCGCGAGCGATCAATGAGCCGCTTCATGGTGAAGAAAGTGTCGTAGCTCATCTTCTCGTGGATGAAGTTCCAGGTCTTCTTCTTGCTGTGGTGTGGGTGATGGTGAAGTGGAAGGGGATGGGCATGAGAGTGATAGTGATGGTGATTCTGGTAGTGAGCCCGGAGCCCATCAAGTCTGCCCTGATAGACGGCAGGCTGGAAGTTTTGTGGGTGAGGGAGGGTGTGGTGATGGTTGTCTAAAACTGGCAGCCCTCCCCCGACTAGACCCGCCCGCCGACCCGGCTTGCCTCCCCCGCTGCTGTTGTAGTAGCGGGCGGCGTACATGCTGGCAGGCGTGACAAGGGCACTAGTGCCCAGGAGGCCCTGAGGGCCGGAGCGCACAAGGCTGGCTGTCCCGCACGTTAGGGGGCCGAGCTGAGAAGGCAGCCGCAGCATGGTACACAGAGCACGCCGAGAGAGCAAGAGTAAAGCGCGCTGAACCTGGAGAGAGAGGGGGGAGACAATAAAACAAAGAAAAACAATAAGATAAGATAAATAAGGTAATAGAAATATGCACCTGAGAGCTTTGTCAAAACAAGGACTGAGAGAAGAAAAATGGGTAAACCACCAAGCAGATTAGTTACAGACCACAATTAGCATTTGTGATTAAGGGCCAATTGGAATAAGAAAAAAAAAACAGAAGAAACACAGGTTTCCCAGGACCAAGACTGAGAAACACTGGTTTACAGAATCTCCACATGCTCCTGTGTACATGACAAGACAAGCACACGAACACATCCAAACGCACTCAAACTTAACCTCCCATAGACAGACCTAGATACAGGCACTCCCATCAACACCACCTCGCTGCCTCTCTAGCTCACAGGAACAGACTGCCACTTGTGTACCTCAGCTATAACCAGACTCCAAAAACAAGCCCTGAGCAATTTTCTTCTTACCACAATTATTAGCCCTGTTTTATATTCCCATTTTTATGCATCCATATGCTTTTAACTCAATTCATTTAGCATCTTCTCTAAAATCCCTTAAATGACAGTTAATTGTCAGCTGTAGTGCAGTTAATCATAAAGTCATAAAAAATAAAGGTCACCAGTTTACACACAACTGCAATTTTTAAGGAATTTAAAATGATTTCTCTGTTTGAACAGAAATAAAAAAACATTTAATACTGAACTTTATCCTCCAACAACAGTTTATTACAATACTATACACCCCCACCACAATACAGTTTTAGCTATTAAACATTATGCTTGACCTTGATTTGTATTTTATTTTATATTAAACATTTACAGTGAACTGTTAAGCAGTGTAGCAAACATTTACTTGGTGCTCACACTGGACAGCTATTAGACTATGGATAACTTAAGTTGATTGTGTTCGGTATCTTAGCCCAGAGAACAGAAGTGGTTTGAACCAAGGCACAGCAATAAGTAATGAGATCCTGGAAACAATCAGCGCAGTACAATGCTTTCAGGGAGCAAGCTAGGGCAGATGTGCAATTGGAGAGCAGAAAAATAAGTCACGGGGCCTACTGCCAACACCTCACATCTGAGCCAGGACCATGAAGAGAAACCCATCCACGCAATAATGAGCGAACAAAGGACAGCTCTCCAACAAGCACCGCTTACACTATTTACACTCTCTTTTTCCCGGGGCACTTGGAACTGTGCTCCTTTGGCACAGTCTTGCCTGCCTGTACTTCAACCTCATGTTCAGAATTATGTAACAATCAAAAACAAGGAAAAAACGTTCTGGCCAAATTAGTCCATATCCAGAAAGTTCACACTGCTGACACCCTTCCCAGCAGGCACACTGCTGTGGACAAACAGGCAGCTAAAAGCTGTAGAGGAACACCTGTAAAGCACAGTGGATTTCTAGTACACTAATTTTGCTTTAGGTGGGAAAAGAGGGAAAAATGGAGTTCGAGCTGATTTGCCTTCCTGCATCGTGGAAACCCCTCTCGGACTAGGGGGACACAATCGAGTCTGAACCTGGCCCTCCAGACATGGAGTTATTAGACATGGCAAGACAGGGAGCATGCCTGCCTTAAGTCACTGAAGCAATGAGGCAAAAAGGGAATTTAGCATTCCATTCTGCAACAATGTCAAAAGAACAAAAAAATAATCTGTATTTTTAATTTTTTTGACAACATTATCTAGTTCAATTCAGAGGTCCAGACACGTGAGCAAGTTTCCCCTTCATACAGCACAACCAGCCCTGGGTGGGACAAACAAGACCCCTGGATCAGTTACAAGGCTATTTCAGGAAGCTCAACCCTGAAAGACACATAGCCGCTCTAGACGGCACTGCAGCTCAACAAGAGCGCCAGCTGCTGAGCAATACCTCCAGTATCAGAGTAGACTGCAAGAAGAGAAGGAAAGCGCCTTTTCTTTAGAAAAAACTTGAGCCCTTGCTGAAGTGAGTGACACAGAAGTCAGTATCTATTACTCTCATAGAACAAACAGCTTCTTCAACTCTTTCATACTTGCTATACATACTACTACTTCAATTACTACTGCTAGTGAAAGGGAAAGAAATAATTCTAGAAAATGTAGAGGACTGCAACCACTAATTACCAAAAAGCAATGTCATTTTGGACATGTGGCTATTTAAATACAGTCAAATTGCTTTTATTGTAAATTATATATTAATTCTAAATTAATTCTAACTGAACTTAATATTCACCTAAAATATGCTTGTTGCATTATATTTCAAACCCTTTGCTAATACTGGCAACCCACTGAAGTTTAAGCAGGTGTGAGCCTGGCCAGTACCTAGTTGTGAGATCTCCTGGGAAAGCTAAGGTTGCTGCTGGAAGAGGTATTAGTGGGAAAGTAAAGGGATGCTTACCCTGTGTTCTGTGTGGGACTGAACACCCCAGTATACTGATGGTGACACTATACTGTAAAAAAGGTGCTCTCCTTCAGATGAGATGAGGTCCTGACTCTCCATGGTCATTAAAAATCCCAGGGCATTTCTTGAAAAGAGTAGGGGTGTTACCCCAGTGTCCTGGCCAAATTGTTCCTGGCCTTTACCAGTCATGTCCTCCTAATAATCACCATCTATGAATTGGCTTTATCACTCTGTTTTCCTCCCCCACTGATAGCTGGTGTGTGGGGAGTGTACTAGCGCACTATGGATGCTGCACATTGGTGATGGTGGTGGAGGGGAGTCCCAATTGTAAAGCGCTTTGAGTCAAGTGTCCAAAAAGTGTTATATAAGTGAGGAATTATTATTAGTGCATTTTAACTACCATTCCACTAGAACAGTGGTGCTCAAACTTTTTGGACCAAGTACCACCCCTAATCCAACCTAAGCATCCAAATACCACCTACAAGTCATCTTCTCATAGGAACCCCAGAAATTCTCAATGACCAACATGAGCGCGTGTGCACACACTCACACATACATATAATAAATATTATAATAATAAACTTTATTTGATATAGCGCCTTTAAAGGTGGCTTCTCAAAGTGTTTTACAGGAAAAAAAACATTAACAACAACTAATAAAAAAGCACCATTTCAGTGAGAGGGGTGAGCCTGTTTAGTTGAGCAAAGCAGATGTGAATTAATTTTTCGAGCCTTGATACAATTTACAACAGAGTCTAACAGATATTAAATCGTCAGGCATTTTCTTGACGGCAAAGGTCTCGCAGTGGATGTTGTAATGTGTACATTAATTTCTGGAGCAACCTATCTAATTTGTGCAACTACACCGTTATGTCGGCTTGTCATTGCTCTAGCACTGTCTGTACAAACTCAGACGCATTTTATCCAGTCGAGGCCATTCTCTTCGATAAATTCATTTAGAAGCTGAAATATGTGCTCTCCTGTAGTTCCTGTTGGTAGCGGTTTACAGAACAGAAAGTCTTCATGGGACATGCCCTCAAACTCGTATCTAACGTAAACGAGCAAATTGGCCAAATCGACTACAGACTCATCTAATTGCAGTGAAAAATATCTGCTCGTCTTAACGCGCTCTATCAGTGTACTTTTGATATAATCCTTCATTTCAATAATTCTATGAATGACTGCGTCTTTCAGGGGGAGGGGGGCAGCAGGTCGAGCTGTTTAGCAGCCTTTTCTCTACACATAATACGTGTCAGCTCTTTTGCCAACGGTAAATAAGGTTCTTCAAAAATAGTGTAGCTTACCTGCTTTAGCAATCAGCAAGCTTGCATTTTTCCGCGTTTCCGTTTTTATTTCCATATTTATTTAAAGTTTTTATTTAATGCGCATGGGAGCGAAACACAGAGACGCTCGGTGTATTTTTCTCAAATTAGAACAGTTCTTAAATATTTTTCTGTTATCACGCTTTCGTGTGCTCACAAGATTACCTGCGTTCGTAGCACGTATTTCTATGCATTCCTGTGTTTACAACGTTGGCATTCTTCCAAAATCACGCACATTCTCCTTTCTCCTTTGCTGGAGATACAGTAGCTTTTTTTAAATACAATTGGTCACTTGCACGCATTCCTATAGAGTGGTATAGAATTACAGAGTATCTCTTGTGTCCACTGAAGTATTAGCACGCACTGTATAGTAGTACGTAGGCTGCGTATTCGACACGTATTAAAATACAAAATATGAAAACCCGTCCCGATTTTTTCGGCGCACACGACACAGTTCCAGGGTCATTTGGCGTACCACTTGGCGTCACTCCACGTACCACTGCCGGTACGCGTACCATAGTTTGAGAACCACTGCACTAGAAGATCCTACTGTTGGCACTGTAAGATGAATAAGCATTCAGTATTGTTGTGGATTATCTTTGTTTACACATAATCTATTGGTGAATAAGTCTGCTGGAGTGCAAGGCCTGGTGTAAGACCACCCAAGTCAGTTCTGCCTGGTTTAGAACCCCATGGCAATTTTAAGAATATATGCAACTGTCAATATCTCAGATGGAGGAATTGGTGTACCTGCCAACTTTGCAGATTCAATCACAAATCTAGACCTTGACTAGTGCTACTGAGGCAGGACATATAACTTGCACTCTTGGGTCAGGTACATCCAAGAAACCCTTTAAGAGTCAGTGTTTAGTTGGTAAAGTTGAAATTTTTAATTGCCAAAAAAGTTAACTCTGTAAGTGACAAACTGGTTCACAGAGATGAACTGCCTGGTCAAAATGCAGCATCTTACCGACAAAGGCTGGGGAAGCAGAAAAGCTCACTGTGCTCGAGGGCTCTGAGAACAGAAGGTTTCAACACTCTAGAGACTCCTGGGGACTGATGTCACCATCACAGCCTCACCCATTACCATGAGACCAGTTCACAGAGAGTAATGCACACTCAGTAACAGCAAGGCCCTCCACATGCACAATAAAAACAGGAAAGAAATGTGGAAGTCACAATGAATAAATTAAACAAAATACTTCAGCCACCCTTTTCACAGAAATGATCGCCTACTTACTTACCACTCCATACATCAGCTTTCCTTCTAAATTTCAGTCTTTTCCTTTTCTTAGAATTAGGAATAGCCCTGCTCAGAACTGAATCCCTTCAGCAATCTGGGAACCAATGTCTAAAAAACGTTTTCAGATAAAAAAAAAAGCACCAAGTTACTGAAGACACCAGGCAACAGGCTCTCGCTACCAGAAGAAAATGTCTTGGCAACAGACAACTCAGAAACCAGGTGACAGAAAAAGAAACACTGGCTGCTGCCCAGTTTCAATTAGTGAGCCTAATAATATTTTATAACTTGACACCATTCCACAAGGTATCCTCTAACACACAGTCATCCCCAGAGATACCTGTGTTAAGCCAAAGGGCTTTGATGACATAACACTAATACAGTCTTAACTAATTAAGCTAAAGATGTCAGAAATAGAGGACACTATTAAACAGAGAACTCAGTCTCTCAGAAGGGCACCTGGGCTCTCACTAGGCCCCGCAGCAATGCTGTGCAGTGTGCTTTGTGGAGGCCTGAGAAGACGAATCAATGCAACTCGACTTTCCCTCCTTAGCAAATGGGAAGACCGGATGATCAACATGTTGTCACGAGTGACTAATGTTATGTTAAACATTAGTCACTGGAAACTCTAAAATGAAATGCACTACTAACTAGCTAAGCTCAAGAGCACACTTCAGTGAATACAGAACACTTTTCGACATTGAGAATGGAACTCATTCATTACTATAACAAAGATGTCATCTACTCATAGAATTCATGCTGGAGTCTCAACTAAGTGCTGAGAGAAGACAAACCAACATTCTAACTGTACAACAGTACTCGCCTTGTCTATAAAATACATCTTAAATCTTCTAAAAAGAAAACAAAGTGTGTGAACTGGCTCACGGGTTTACACTTACAATACAAAGTATTCTGCACTGGGAGATATTGCGGCATTTCTTTCACAACCACTTGGCCTTTGTACTGATCTCTGGCAATGCAAACAAGTCTAAAAACACTTGAGCAGGGGTTTCTCATCAATTTTTCCATTCATGTAAATTATTACTTTATGATTGGCCAATTAAGCATTTCATTCATGAAACCTATTTTTCTTTTAATAAGTACAGAAGAGCCCCATGCACCACCAGCCCTCAGACCTAATTCAGAAACAAAGGTACTGCCCATAGCACTGAGAAGCACATAATATTATGCCAGAGATAAGGTGTAAAACAAGTTTTGAATAGAACAGTGATCCTCAGCTCCATGCTCAGCAGATGCTCATTTGTTATAGGCAAGAGTCAGTGCTGCAACACTGTGACATCTGATGACATTCAGAGCCAATGCATCACAAACACTGCCATTCCTATGAATCATGAAAAGTGAAGATCAGGGGCTGGGAGGATGAAGGGAACATAACACAGGCTATAGTGATTTCTCATCAAAGCCACACCTTACTGTCCAAGAGCTTGCAGTTGATAACACTAAATAAGGTTAATAATCCGGCCCTAAATCGCCAGTGATTCAAAACAGTAGCTGAACACAAGATCAGCAGGACGGGAGGTGACACTGCAATGGGTAAGAGGCTTCCTTTGATCACAGAGATGGGCCTGTAACAAACTGGGACAGTCAATATTGGAAAAAAGAGTGAGGAGTGCAAATGGGAGATTCTACATTCCAAAAAGAGTTTGGCATTAATAGGTATATCTACCATCACACTTTAAAATACATTGAATTTATTTCAGAGGTTGATATTTAATTAAATATGTTTTAATAGACATTGTGAAACATTAAATAAATGCTGAACAGACCTAAAATCAAAGATGGAAATGTTTAGGTATAAACACAGTATTTTTTGTAATTAGAAAATAAAATCTACTCACATTTAACTTTTTTTCTCTCAAACAGACCGGTTCTTTTAAATTAATTAAGACAGTAACCTAGAGCTGCCATGTCTGACTAAGCCACAACAGAACGGTGTTTACTACTTACTTGATTTATCTACTTCTCTCACTTGGTAAGGGATTCGTCTGCAACTGGGGCACTGCTGTAACTACTTGCCACTCCTTTTCGGTCAGCTATTTTCTTGTGTCATCTCTTTTTTAAGTAGGCCCCCCTAACTTGTTTATGATTTAATGATGCCATACAGTTCTACATCCTTAATATCATTCATCTGATGGCCTATTCAAACACTATGGTCCTTTGAACAGATTTCATGACTCAAGACTAGAGATTAGAGATTAGATAACCACAGCCCAGCAGGGTTAAGGGATCACCCTTAAAACCCCCAAATCAAAATGATGTGTTCAATTACAGAGTTTAAAGATGCACTGAAATGAATCTGCTATCACCCTGTAGCTCTCAAGAAACACAGCTAGCCATTCCTGCTTTAAATAAATTAAGGTCCAAGCCTTCACAAATTGATAATTTAAGGGTGATGTGTTAGACCAGGGTTGGCCACCCATTGACTACAGGATCAATAATAAGGCAGATTAACATTTAAGGCTATAACAGACTTGGATCAAACATCTCCCAGCCTACAGGCTCTTCCTGATGACAGAAGACTGTGAAACTGGTATATACTTCCAATGCACAGCATCTGGATCCTTTTTAGGTTTTACGAGCTGCAGACTCCTGGAGCCAAACAACAGGTTCTGGCTCTATTCAACTTTTCACCTTATTTTGAGTAAACTGGGCTAGGCTTATGTTTTCAGTTATAGTGCAGCTTTGCTGCTTTATAAGCACTGTAGGTCAAAAGCGTGCAGCTCATAAAACATTGAACAGATCAAACGGTAATGGAGTTTGGGGGCTTATTTATTTAGAGTATAGGGTCTAACTGCATTCTATTCTCAGCTCTGTGTTCTAAGTTTTATCTTCATGTGCTTCACCTAGGTAACTATGTCAGGAGTGGAACAGCAAATCATGACACCCCAATATACCATCCTCTACTCAACATGAAGGTGCACCACTTTCTTCTTTTAATGACTGGTCTAAACATTATTTAAAGGAATAAATTATTGGCTTAACTAGCACAAACTTAACGTGGTCTACAGACACTGGCTGAAAATGCCTACAAAATCCAGGTGCTGTTAGAGAGCCCTCCAGCCTCATTCTCAGGATGTCCAATCCTGAACTGGAAACAGCTGTTCTCTCTGGCTTTCCAAGACCACAGTAAGATTACCTTTACTGAACTGATAAACAGTGCGTAGTTGTTGCCATGAAGAAGGGCATTCATGTTCTTTTTTGGGTTGTAAACTTAAAAACATTATAGTTGCATGAATTTAGGCTATGCCGTTCATATATATGCTTGAATTTGTGCTTGGAACAAAGTTCCAAGAACGAAGTAAAATTTCATTAAGTTAATGGCCATTTTTGAAAACTTTTGATTACTTCATTTAGTGCTATAAGTTAACTCTGCTCTTACCCCACTGCCCACAGATAAAAGAAAAGCACACAAAAATGGTCCTTAATATGAAGAAAGGCTATCAATAAAACACCGAAAAGGTTAACTAGAAACATGCTACTTCCAATGTTCTTCAGAGCCATCAAGTCACCCGTATTCAGCCGCGGGTAAAAGGCTATTCTTTCAGCGTTGCCTTAATTCGTACTGCTTAGCTAGATAGTAATTTGTCTCTAAAACAAGTAATGTTCTAAAAAAAATCCCAAAAGAGCAACACCATGCTTTAAAAGCCGCTGCTTTTAACGTTTAACGCTGTGGTGGTGTCCAGCAGTAAGCGCTGACACTTGAAGGCTTAAAGCTATTTACAAAAAACAAAACTTCACATGAAACACATCGAGCCCCGCAGTCACTATGGTCGCACGTGTCTAGGGAGAATGCGAAAGACGTCTTGTACTTTACGATTTTGTTTGGTTTTCGATTGCACACAACAAAAGCCGAACCCACTCCACCTCCTAGAGCATACAAGTTTGCACAACACTTCTTTTGTCAGAACGGACAACGAGATGAACACACCATCTCACTCTTGGGCCTCGGTGTGATTAAATAACACTACATTAATCCAAATTATTTGTTGGTGGTAAAGATATACATTTGAAATATCAGGCCCTAAAATACCTTAAACAGTTATTTAAAATAAAAACACAAGCTTTAAATTTCACTGATGTGGAGTTGCTTTTTCAGACACTGCAGCTTTTAGTTTTATCTTATATCAAACCAGAACCTACGACACCCCAGTTCTCTAAACCACCTTTACAAGCCTTCTAGAGAACGCACTGGAACCTAAAGGCATGAACATCCTAAAGGAAGAACACGGGAAAAGCATCTAATGTGATTCACACATCGAGATCCTAGGTGTTATTGTGCAGTCTGAAAGCGTGTCGTGAGATAGCACCGGTCGTGGAGCTACAGCTTCTCCGATACAACCCGCAATGCATGGCTGGGAATCAAGGGGTGTACTTACATATTGGCCGGAACGCGGTCTGCTGCCTGGCGTTGGGGGTGTTTCAATCAGTCCATTTCCAGAAGTCGCAGCACACCGCACTTTCTCCTTACAGAGTAAAAAACTACCACTTTTAAAATACCTTGACACTCCCCTTAGACAAATTATCTCCTTACAGGTTGCAACTCAGTTCTATCAACCTTTTTCCAACCGTAATAAATTAAAAAGGCAACCTACAATGGGCGTCTGAATTGTTATTATTATGTTATGCTATAATTTCTGAACACTGAAAACATCAAAAAAGCGCCGCACACAGAACTGAAGTCCCAAACAGAAAATATGTCTGGGTAAGATATATATGCTTGCTCTGTTAAGGTCAATGACTATTATCAAATGCAACGCGTATATGAAATATAATAACAACACCCCCCCAAATATTATTCATATGAGTTATTTTACACCCTCCTAACCCCCTATTTCGGTCTCGGTTTCTTCCCTCCCCTGGTCTCAATCCTCCACCGCTAACCCGGTGACCGCCATCTTCCCGGCAGCCATCAGGACCCCCCCCACAAACCACGCCTCTTCCGCACCAATAGCCAATAGTCGACGGAAGGTCTTCTCAGCAGCCAATCACCCCTCACTGTTGGGGTCCGACCGTACAGACCGTCTCACCATGCTGCCAATCGGGGCTGGGTTAGTGCTGCTGCACAACTAATAGCAAAAAAGCGACACTGAAAAATGCGAAGCAGAACCAAGCTGAATAACTTGGCTGAACCAATCAAACTAGATGAAAACCTTAACAGGTAACCAATGCCTGTTGCGACAGAAAGAGTGTTGCCTTTTAATCATGGTTAGGGGGCCGTAATTGATAGTGGGACGAGAGGAGTAATTCCGTGTGCATTTAATTTTTTCACGCTGCTTCCATAAAACGTGTTCGATCCCACTGACATAACCGAAGAATTAGGAAATAAGGTAAAGATGATAAATTATCTGTTAATCTTTGGGAGAGTATGCTCATTAATTGCTTTTTAACTGTTGTCAAAATACCTAACAAATAAATCAAATTTAACACAGGACCTTGCTTGGCTTAAAGTCCAGTAAACTTTTACACACGTTCAGAAGCGTACAACCAGAGGATGAAGTATATTAATGGAAAGAGGCATGTGCACATGACACAGTGTCTAAGATTATAGATAATGGATTACGGTACCTAAATCATGGGCTACTCTTCTCAGTACAAACAAGCATTATTGTCGTGCCCGTTACTTGGTCCCTGTCACTAAACTTGACAACAGACAGGTTAACAACAGAACAAGGTCATCAGTATGGAGTTAAAGCATTTAACGTCTGTGTCCAGCAGGGTGATGCCAGGAGCTGCAGACTGCTCTATCAGTGTGGCCAGTGCTTTTACAGTATATGAAGAGTGTTGAGTTGAGACTGTAGTCCTGTCTCACTCCTCTGCCTGGAGTGAAAATCCTTGCTGTTACTGCCAGTCTTTGCACTGCATTTATTGACAGTGTACATTGACTTAATAATGTTGTAACTTTATCTTTCATGCAACTTGAGCTGTAGACATTTGCAGAAGGGTGCATCATTACATACTGAATTGTTGTACTCTACAAAGCATGTAAATGTTTTGTTGTCCTTTGTTGGGCTCACGTTTTTCACGAGAGTAAGCAAAGTGTAAATTTAGTTGCAGGTGTGATGTTAAATGTTTGGGCATTAAGAATACCGCAGAGCATCTTTCCCAGATTACTGCCTACAAAAGTCCCCCCTTATTTATTAGAGTGAAATTTGTCACCACTTTTGTATATTGGGGTTATAATTCCAGATTTAGCAGAAATTATCAGATCTCTGGACTAAGATGAGCAGTTTTTGCAAGACATCATACGGCTTAGGGCTGTTGTGTTTCAGCATCTTGTAATTGATGCTTTCAGGCCCACAGGCTTTCCTGGAATTGAGTGTCTCATGTTTGTCCTGAATTTCTTCTGGGGTATTTAGTACATCTACTATAGATGGGATTGGCAGTTTTTGATAACTCTTTCCAGTACACAAAGCTTTTTGAGGATGATCTTTTGCGGCTAGCTTCAGGTCATTGTTTTACAATTCTGTGATAAAGGTTTTTGAAATAAATTACCCAGATGTTACTAGATTGCATAGCCAATTCTTTCTGCTTAGAGGAAGCTGTTTCCAATATTCCCATATGATGTTTTCTTCAGTAGGTTTGTGAGTCTGGGTGACCTGTACACACATGACACCTATTAATTTCTCTCTGAGGAGCTATTTGTACTACATTAGCTGGAACAGGAGCTCAGACAGCATTTCACAACACACTTTCCCTGTAGGGTTTCTCTGTACTGTACCGCTGTACCCCAGCAATGATTTACAATGTTGAAATAATACAAATTATTCCTTTTTTGAATCTTACAGTAATTTCTTACTTTATGATTTCATGCATTAGAACTTAAATTGAGTGTTTTTGATTTTCTGTGATATGAATAAAATCACACAGCTTAGCAGACAAACATGATAAAAAAATAATTCACTATACAAATGCAGAAAATAAACTGACATTTGTTCAAAACTGCCAATAGGGGGACTCAGAGTAAAAGCTACGAGTTGTCTACAGTACAGTTGCAATGAAAGAAACTTCAAACACACATAAAACAATTCAAGTTTAAAGGAAGCTTTGGTACACAGGTATTGCCAAATCATCTGTATAAAGTGGATTGGTGTTACTGCATATTTGCAGTACATGGAATATTTTAATGGACAATACAATACAGCACATGCCAAACAATTTAGCCCAATATCATACAGAATTTCTATTATGTCCTCCTTCCTGTAGGACATAATATCCTTTTCTCTTGCTAATACATTGATTTATTGATTGATTGATAAAATGCAAAGTCTCTTAGCTAAGAGATGGCTTCTGGATGAGCTGTGTTGAGGGTGTGGGTTGGGCAGTCCTCTAGAATGTGCTGTGTAGTCTGTTTTATCCCACACCAACAAAAAACAAAGTCCCTGAGGTCTTTGATGATCTTATTTGTGATTTTGATTATTTTTCTGATCTTTCTTCTTACACCAAGACAAACTCACTAATTAAACCTGTATGATAATTTACTTTTCTATTTCTTTTTTGTTTCAAATTCATTTTTTTCAATCAATAAAGCAATTATTGCATAGGGTTGGCACACTGGCCTCAGTGGTTAGCATTGCTGTCTCTCAGCACTGCAGCCCTGTGTTCATTCCCTGGGCTGCTTTCTGCATGGAACGTGCATTTTCTTCCTGTGTTCATGTGGGTTTTTTTCTGGGTGCTCTAGTTTCCTCCCACTGTCATCAAAGACATGCTTGTACTGTAGGTCTGATAAAAAGATTTAAACTTGCTACCAATTTCCTATTGAGAGATACAGTATAAGAGCAATAAAAATACACCTTTTGTGATCTCATTCTAACAGAGAAGTGTGTTTTATTGGTATATGATTTGATCGATTAATTTGAAACAGTGGTATTTCATTTTAAATTGTGGACTGTACATTATGTGGTTGAAGTTTTTAATATACAGTTAGAAATTTGCAGTGAGAAAAGTGCTCATTCCTTCACTTATTTGATTAGTTTTATTTATAATTCTTAATATTAATAATACAATGCAGTTTACAAAAGGAGGTGGCTAGTGAAAAAGCGGGCACTCAGGAGATTGCATTGTCAACTGTTGAACACATTTTTAAACTGGCAGACATCCTTAAAAGGAGGTCAGACTGGTCAATAATTTCAAAAGAAGATTCACCACATTCTCCCTTAATTTAGCACACTGTTCAGTTTCACTAATAGGCTAATCGTTGCAAGACTGTGGTATGCACTATTAAAAAATCTGAAATATAGATCTTCTCTACAAATTATAAGTAGGCTAAAGAATTACAAAGGCTACAGTTTGTATACTCTGTATGAGAGGTGATAATGTATTGATCAAATTGATTGTGATAAAAATAATCCACACCCATTTCACCTTTCTTACCACAACAGACATTTCATCCTGTTTCTTGTGGTATTACTGAAAGCACCATATAGACTGAAAATAAAGCAAATGCTGATTATTAATATTTAGTGATTACTGCATGATTGACTTTTCAAAGAGTCCAAGTGTTGGCATGGAGCAGTCAGTGCACTTCAGAGTTTATATGTTGTAAACTGTATTGGATGCAAAACAACTCCAGAAACTATTTCTACAGAGAGTTACTTGCAGTTACATTGACAGGTGATCATGCATTCAGTACATATCTGTAGTATATTTGTTTGTTTCCTTAAGGTTTTTTGCTTTTGTATTTGAAAGTTGAATATTTTATCTTCAAGAGAAGCCCTTCAGCAGCAGGCTGTTACAGGCCTCTTTAAAACATGCGACCACTAAGAAATGAACAAGAAAAGCTGCTAAATTAAGTAAATTAAGCAAATATTTCAACAGCATAGTTAAGTGTTTAGAGAATCAGAAGCAGGTCCTTGTTGTCTTGAGGACTTATTCCTCCTTCATTGATTGGCCGAATTGTTGGTGCCCAGGCCGATGATCAGCCTTGTTTAAGCGCTGGTCAATAGCATCCTTCGCAGCCCTTGCTAGCAAGGATTATTGATGATCCGGGTAAGTGTATACTACATCCCCTTACTCGCTTTTCTTTTTCCTGAAACAGAGGCAAAATGTTATTCACAGTTAAAAGGGAGATGTCTGCACTAGGACAATTGTAATTAATTTGATTGAGTAAGTAGAACAGAGGGCTTATCTGAAGTTTTTATGTTTATTTTTCACAATGTTCAAGATTTGAACTTAGAATCACACCAGAGCTCCAGTAACTCCATGTTAATATGAACAACTAAAAACTAAAATGTTCAGTAAAGACTGTGTGTGACAAAAGAAATTGGGAAGCACTGGTAGGCTTTGAAGCATCACATGTCTGGTACTGCTTTCCTAATTCACCCATTAATAGTCAATTTTAAGATATTTTCTAAAAGCTTATTTAGGACAGAATAGGGAGGAAGACAGAGAGGGAGGATCTTTTCATGCCCGTTGTGATGCATGAGTTATGTGATGTGTAGTTATGTGATAATACAAAGTGCTTTTCAATAGTGTCCTTCACACAGAGTGCCGATTCACAGGTTTATATTTGTCTTCACATGGTGCAGACAGGACCCTGTGAAATCACTGTTTGTTCCAAGGCTTAGGCCTGTGCTATCTGTTGCCCTCGCTAAGTGTCTGTCTACTCTTTGTATGATGTTAGCATCTTTGGGAGACAGCTAACTGTTCTTGACTGAAAGGGGTCTCTTCTGCGTATTTCACTTCCTCATGAGTAGCAGAATCTACAGCACTTTCTGTTGTGTTTTGGGGGTCATTGGCACTGATAGACATTTTAGATGCTGGTGTTTGAACTGCAGTATCTGAGAAGATGGGGATTTTCAGAGCTGCTGCCTTGAATGTCTAAGTTGCAGTTGTCTGTTTCCAGGTCCTTGAGAGGAGAAGGTATTTCCATTGATGTGATATTAGATTTTGAACAAAAATATTGTATTCTTTCTCCTTTGATAGCCTGGGTCTAGCTGTGTTGATTAGGGATACATACTTCCATTAATTTTTGGATCTATTATTCTTCCACATCACAGTGTCATCTGGGTTCCTGCAGCTCCAACTCTGGTGTTTCCATGTTATTCAGGATAAACTAATATACTGTAATATTGTAATGGTATATACTTCCTATTCAATACTCATGCAATCAAGACAAATAGATGCCAATAGCTAAGTATTAGCACATTATTAAATCAACAGATTCATTCATCAAATCAGAACAATTTCCTAAGAACAAACCTTTCATAATGCTTAGGCAATAGTAAAAATATATAAGTTTTGATGTTGTTTGATGAGTTTTGTTGTTTTGAAACACCCTTGTATATGTCCTGCTAAATCCTTTTCATTGTATTTTATTGGATTCAGAGCA